CCTAAAAAACGGAGGGGGCACGTATATATGAAGGCTCCCTAGAGCGGGTTCGCTCGGAGCGCCTACACAAAATTGCGGCCATAGGTAGCAACAGCCCCCGTGCGCAGGCCGTAAAGGAAGGGAGCGAGCGCGCGCCTCCAGACCGGCCGTGGTGTGGGTCGGCAGGCTCTTGAAACAGTAAATGTATCGACGCGATTTCGGCGTGCCTGCACATTCACTCGTGCACCATTGCGCGTAGCAGGTGCGTCACTGACAAAGGCTCCTAAATGCAATAAACGCGCTGAACACGAGCAATTACACGCTTTCGCAGGCTTGGGCGCCCGCGCTTCCAATGCAGATGCTTTTGAAATCTTCAGTATCATGGGACTACAGCGCCGCCGCCACTGTCACCCGCCGGAGAAACAGCCAAGATGCGGCGCGGCCACCTCGTTCACTACCTTGCCCCCTTCTAGTACACTGTAACCATGAGCCACTGAGCCACGTGAACCATTTTTCGTATATATCCTTCAGCACATTTTTTATATAAAGTATGGATGGGTCAATTATGTAGGAACGCTAATAGGAGAGCTTGATGTATCCGCATTGCTTACGAACTATGATGGCACGCTGTGCAATTCAGGATGACGCTCGTATGAGGGTAAGACCGTTTGATATCACAGAAACAGATAGAAAGTCAAGCATGATATGCCGACGGATTGTGCCCGAATCTTTAGAAATTTCCATACGCCACTGATGAGGCCGTGCGAATCAAACATGATTGATGTTTATGTTATGGAAGGGTGCGTCACGAGTTATTTGTAAAAAAAAAACGGGTGGTTTACTTTTTAAGGGCTCCACATACAAATCTGCTGGAAATAGCAGCTTTAACGCATTGTAACGCCGTTGCCAGAGAGATACAGCATAACATGTATCGCATCTTTCCACGTCCTATCATTGGTCGCCTAAGTGGAGAAACATTTTTTGGCTAGGGTGCACGCACCTCAAGTGTGCTTATATCTATACCCACCTGTGAAAAAAAAAACGGAAACTGTACCTTTGGTTGTAGCTTCCAATTAAGACCAACGACAGCATCGTCAAGTGGACGAGTGTGAAAAGAGGTGCAACTGCATTCACTATCATTTTTATAAAAAAATTGTTTTGCGTGGAGAAACATTTTTTAGTCAGGGCGGATGTAGCTTCAGCGTGCTGGTATATACACAGCCAGCTCAGTTTACATTTGTAGCCATACTTGATAAAAGTTAAGTTGTAACTTTCACTGCAGAGACAAAATTGTGGCAATGGCAGCATCGTCAAGCGCACGAGTACGAGAAGAGGTCAAACTGTATTCACTATCTCCATTATAATGCCAAATGCGTTTTGCGCTAAGAAGCAATTTCCGCCTGATTGCACGTTATTTAAATGTGCTGATATACACTTTTACGACGAGAAATTCACCGCCTGCTGTGGGGAATTTCTGAAAAGCCACTTCTACGAAACGCCGAAAACAATCAAAACCATCCAATGATTGTCTGAAGAGTTTTTTTAACGCACATGAAATTCAATGTTATATCACTATCACAAACGATACGGCTACGAGCACGTTAAATATTTCACAAAACGATGTGTATAATATTAAGGTACATTGTCTCTTTCATGCGCTTTATGTATGACTCGTACCGAGCAATGGGCGTCGTGAGAACGTACTCGCCACCCGCCATCGATAAGCCAAGAACGACGTTGGCGCACATACTGTGTAGCCCGTCATCCAACAACCCGCACACGACCGAAGTCGCCCTTTTTGGCACTGCCTTGCTGTCTTCGAGTGAGGGGTGCTCGGCACGAACACTTTTAGCGCGGCCACTACTTACAGCGCGAAATCGACCTTGAGTGGGCCTCCGTCAAATGCACAGACGTGACGTGTTTGTCATACACGGTTTACTTTGTAATCTTGAACTGTAATTGCTGTGTCATATAGTTGGAAACTACCTGGCAGCGGGCGCTGGAGCGGGAACATGTGGAAATAGAACGCTTGAAATCCCAAAACCTAACGTTACGCGAAAAGGCCTTAGCGGCCGTGGCTACCATCTGTGCCTTCGTGTATTACGCTAGTCGTGTAGCCGTGATTCTCGTCAAGACGGCGGCACAGCTCACGAGAATGGTTGGCGCCTTCCTTTGGGAAGGTATCCGCCGCACTCTCCTCCACCTTCCAGCGGATGAGTGCGGCCTCGGCCTGACACACGGGCTTCCGACCAGCGAAATGCTTGCACTGAAAACGGCAAGGGCGCTGTTCAAAACCACTGACCATGTGGGGAAGAACATTTTGCGTTACTGGAACAGCACGAACACAGCTTTCCTAGACGCGGACCGACTCCTCGCTAGAGACACATGCTAGAGAACGAAGCCCCCGATTGCGACATTGACTACACACCGCCGGCGCGCGTCATTGAGGATATAGCGCGACACCAGATTACGCGGAAGCGGTCGAAGAAATGGCAGAAAAAGCGCGCAGCGGTGGGCGAGGAATTCCCAAACTCGCGCTAGACTTCGTGTGGTGCAAGAATTGGGACGTCCTTCCAACCTGTCAGCGTTTACACAGGTTAGGCATTTTGCGGTGTCCTCGCTGCCCCAACACTCATTCGGATGAAACCTCGACACACTCCCTATACGAGCGCCCCGCAGCAAAGCCGGTGTGGAGAATAATTGCGAGAGAATTTCAAATCCACTCTCTTCCAGCCCTCTGCAGAAATAAGGGCTCATTTGCTAAGCTGGTGATTGTGTGCACACTATTTATGCTTTCGAATCGGCGCCGCCTAGCTGAAGTAAGGCACAAGCCAGAACGAGCGGCCTTCCCAGCAGTGGCAAGGATCTGCCAAATGGTGTGGCGGTACCTATCCGAGCAACTCGATTTAACGGTGAAAACAAGTTTTTTCGGGGGGGAGGAGGGTGCCATTTATCACGATGCACACTGTTTCTATGCAAGAAATCTAGCTATCTTTCCACTCCTACACCCCTTGCTTTTGCCATCGCACAAATTATTTAGCAAATTTGTGTATGAGTGTATACTCCTCCCCCTAGAGTTTATTTGATTTCTAGGTGGCCACCCTAAACACTTCCCGGCTTTGGCTTGAGATTGTGTATTTTATGGCGGTGTTTTTCCATGGGTATCGCCCATTGATACCACAGGGCACACGAATACTTCATCTGAAGGTATATATGTAGATAAGCACTGTGCTTTTTTATTTGAATGTAACAGTTGAAACTGTATTGACGTAAAATATAGTTCGAAAATAGGTAACGAGTTTTGTGTCTACTGGTATGCTTTCTGTTATAAAATTGTACATAGGTAGTTTGCTCTCTTCACTGGTCTGCCCTTTTTTGTGAATTTATATACGTATACATATAATGAACTATAGATTGCTCTATATACCGAGTGATTTGCTACCTCATATATGTCTCGCATTTCTTTTTCGTGTGAGGTCGAAAAATTTCCCTCTGTGTAGATCAAGGTCCCTGCACTGGCGGACTGCGAGGGGCACCGATTCCTGGGGAGTCTTGTGGGGTTCAGGGTGCTACCGGGCCAGACGAAGCTCGACGAGCCCATTCATCTCGGCAGACAGGCTGCTCTCTATCATGCTCACCCCATGCCAGAGGCTGATGTAATCAAAACTTTTATCTCTCCAACTTTCAACTTCGCCATGCAAGGGAGAGTGGCACGAGGAGCTTCGCCCGCTGATCAAGAAGACCCCGTACGCGCCGGCCAGAGCTACCAACGAGTGTGTGAACGGGAGCGCACACGTCGGCACTGCAGCGATCCCTCTTGCAGCGGAGCTGAGCGACATTTGCCGAGTGTGTGGGGCCTTCAAGCTCCTGTATTCGACCGATCCGGAGGTCCGGGAGCGAGCAAGCGAGGAGCTCTACAGGGTGGTGTCGAGGAGGCTGAGGCAACCGGCTGACACAGACGACACCAAGGCCGAACTTTCGGGCTAAATAGAGGGCGACTTCAGGCAGACTGCGACCCAGCTGCAGTCTGTCACGACGGAGGTGCGCAAAGCCACCCGTCACCTGTCCGTCGCCTAGGAGCTACTAGAACAAGGCGCCCGCATCACCTGCGGAGAGGCTACGGTGTCAGCGCGGAACCGCAACAAGTTGATAAAGATCCTTCGGGCCATTCTCAACCGGGACCGGGACCGTTATCTCTAGGAGAAACCGTTCCAGGGCAAGGCGATGGCGTGTGTAGTGGCGGACCCCGCCAGTTTCCACTTTGTCATGTCTGGCCGCTACACTCGCTTCAAGGAATGCAGCTTCATTCAACGAGCTCGGCTAAATTTCGTCCCTTTCAACGGTACAAGAACGTGGATGCCCGCAGCAGACAAAAGGTACCGACGCTGTGGTTACGGGTAGGAGAACCTGGCGCACGTCCTCGGCCACTGTATGCGGCAACGCCAGGCGATGACGGAGCGGCACAACATGATCGTCGCGTGCCTCAAGAAGGTGGCCCTGAAGTGGTTCACTGTCATTGAAGAGAATCAGCACGTCGGCGTCCCCGGCTTGCGACCCGACCTTGTCCTGGCCCGTTGTGAGGAAGCCGTGATCCTGGACGTCTGATGTCCCTTCGACAACCACATGCACGCCTTTCAGGAGGCTCCGAGGGTCAAAGAGAGGCATGCCCCTTTACAGCTTCATCTCCTTCAGCGGTTCCAGCGCGTTTCCGTTGACGCCATCGTCCTAGGCTGGCTCGGCTCGTGGGATCCGGCCAACGATCGCGTCTGCCACAAGCTTGTTCTCGGAACAACCTGCGGACAGTGAAAAGACTTTGCGCCTCGGACACGATCGCCGCCTCTACGACAATATAACGTAGCCATATAGGTGTATTGTAAATAGGGTTTTATTCGACAAGTAATACCCCGTTTTAATTATATACACCTTTACAGTTTTTCACACTAACATCACTAACTTTTTTTAGCCTTTTCGTTACCTGTTTTAATTCATACACTTTTATCGCCAATTTGTTGTGTTTTTCTATAACCTATTAAGGTGTATTGTGTAACAAGTATAACAAAAAATTCTGTTCTTATCACAATAATATCTGATAAGGATCCTATTTGGATCCAAGATATTGTAACGGAGCGGAGTGCTAGAAGCTTGTTTCACCTCCGCCACTGCTTGACTTGGCATTGCACTACCTCCAGGTTCGGCACACTCATCCTTTCAGGGGTGAGTACAATAGTATTCTCAATTATGGAAGGCGTGCGCGGATTCACTAAGGATATTGCGTAAACCACGTGGGTGCTGCGAGTGTCCGAAGCCTGGTGTTACGCCACCCTGGCTGCGGTATTCGCGGCTGGTATGATCGGCCTTCATGACATGGCGCCGTTTTGACGTGAGATGGGAGCGGGACAAAGCTCCCAGAGGTAAACCACAAGCGACAACGGCCCGCAAGCCATGATTGAAATTTCGCGGTGCCGCCATCTCCCCTCGTAGAACCCTTTGAACTTCCCCGACCGACTGGCGATCGATGAAAGGCTATTTAGAGTCAAAACGGCTTAAAAAGGGTGGTTTTCTTTGTGCGTCTCTTTTCGTCAGCGTGCCGCGGAAAATAAGCCAAGCGACTGAGAACCGTCTGCGGATGCATTTCCCACGTTCTTCGTGGTGCGTGATACCGCTGTTTCACAAGTCATTGTCTGCCTGGAGCCACATACTCATCACTAGAACGGTCTACGGAGTTGATTTCCACGTTGGACCCAACGTCTTTGTGCTGCGCTGTGTCCTGCGTGGTGGTGTGCAGTGTTTTCTCCCTCGCCATAGGACGAACTGGGCGTGTTTCTTCTCTCTTTCTTTGGTCGCAAAGGAGACGACACTTCACCTTCCTCTTTCTGGGCGGAAGTAAAGATGAAAAAATTTATTGGACTGTCCTGGCCTCAATTGTTTTTTCCTGCAGGAATCTTAGGAAGGCAAGGACATGAAGTGGGAGCATTGAGGCGCTCTCGACAAGCTCTCTCAATATCCGAGAACCTGCACAGAAGCTCGAGGGCTTTCATGATGCTAAGCCTATCATGTAGCAACACGCTACCTGTAAATATTTATATAAAAGTTACTGTTAACAGCTTCGGGCTCCGCTCCTCGACATCTCTCCGAGACCCTGCCTGGCTCCGATCCTCTGGGCAGAAATTCGGTTACATCAACTGGTGGCAGCGGTGGGATGCTGCTCACCACCGGAACACAGCAACTGGTTTAGCCGCATCGGGATGACCCATGCTTGACACGGGCCTCAGCAATATGTTCGGTGCTCTACTTTCTTTGAGTTTCCTGCTCTTAGCTTTTGAAGTTATCCAAGTTTGCGTGCAATATTCTTTCTGTGTGTATAGGTTTCGTTCTACCGTTACCATACGTCCCAGCTATTCATCATTTTAGCTTTCATGTTGTAAACTGGCTATGTTTTTACCGTACGTGTAGGCTTCACGTGTTCGCTACCAAACGTCACAGCGTGTAAGAAGTCCTCACTCATGAAGACCATGGAGTTGAAAAGGAAGCTTGAGAGAACAGACCACTTACTACTGTCTGAAGAGTTAGGAATGAGGGTGGGGAGAGATGAGAGAGAGTCGCAGCTAATTGGGGCAATTCAGAAGTGTTGTGCGGAAGATGACGAAGTTGAGGAATGTTGAGAGGAAGTGGAAAAACCGAAAAAATGAAACCTGCCGGAAGACGAAGCAACAGAGCTGTCTTCGTTCATCTACTTATTGTATGCAAAATCTATGCCATTCGGAAACAGATATGCCTCACAGGGGCACGACATAAGTCGTTGAAAGCAGCGTAGCCAACATTGAAGAAAATGCGCCAGCCAAGATGGCAGTATTTGGCGGAGAGGTTCGATGCTGACGGCGAAGAACTTTCCCTCCGCTGTTGGCATACCGAACTCTTCCTACTAAGAGATGAGAGATTGACATACCCTATCATGCCGTATTGAACTCCCCCCCCCCTCCACACACCCACACACGTACACTAAGAAAGATGATAGAATGAACTGGACTTCATAGTCCAGTTTAACCCAAGAAATAGCAATCGAATGTGACAAAACATGTATATTGCCGGTCAAGAGGGCTGATATTAGATTTGTTTTGTAACGATTTAACCATGTCACTACTTACAGATCTAAGAAATGGTGTGATACGTTGATATGTAAAGTTAAGAAAGTATGGAAAGTAATGAAGATGATTTATAGTGTGGAATAGTGAAGAAGGTTATGTACCATGTGTGTTGCACCGATCTAACAATTTGCTGCAGTGAACGGGACAGTTGTACTGGCGCATCAATGTATTGACAGTGTGTTCACATGCTGTGCGTACAACAAAAGGAGCATTGTAAAACTGTTACAAGCTTGTATTATGTACATGCGACAACAGAAGCTTGTTTCGTAATATATCCCCTTGTGTAGCAAACTGACCACTGTTTACTTATTACAGCGGCTAGAAAGAACATGCACCTCGTTGGAAAAAGTCTGTAGTCTTTCTTAATCTCATTCACTTGTTTTTGAAATTTGTTTAATTTTTGCTGTAGAATAGAAGCTGATAAAACGTGTTGATACATATGGCTTGGTCGATTGAGTTCTGGCTCACTAAAGTGTCAAGTAAATATATCCTAATTTGGTAACGTCTGCAAACATTCCTTCTGACTGTAAATAACTAAAGCATTTCCAAATTTCCAGTCATCTGTATACTATTTTCACTGTGTAAAATTGTTCTTTCATACCTTCCTTAAAAAATTGTGTAAAAACATTGCTTCAACTTTGTTTTCGTTCTCTTTCTTAGTGTGTGTCATGCATACTTCGCTCACCCTCCCTGAACTTGTCCGCAGTGCATCATAAATAATTGAATGAATTTTTGTCCAGTAGTAACTATTGGTGAAGAAGAGCCTGGGTAATGTGCATTGTATTGTTCATACAGAGCGTCAATGCTGCTGGGCAATTTGGTGAAGATGAAGGCCGCCTCTGCTCACACAAAGCGTGGCTTCTCGCCGAAACAAAAAAGCACAAAATTGCCGTATGAGAAGGAAATCAAGGCACGGATGGCATTGACAGCACAGAGGCGGTTGCAGCCTTGGCAAAAGTGAGTGTCAGAGAAGTGAAGAAACAGTATCCTTATCTAATGAATTCATGTCAAATACGGCTATTCCTAATAAACGTGAATTATGGAAGTAAGCTGCTGCCCTTCATTTTTATATTCGAAGGAAACCAAATTGAAAATATTTTACAGCATTCACATATTAGCATTCTTTTGTATTTGTAGGATCGCTTGCATTCATGCATTTCACAGTATGATACTATAAAAGGGATCACAGTTAAAAGACCCCCAACAAATTATATCGTCTTTTTTTTCTGCGTCATGATAGTAGTAAACTAGGTATGCCGGGCGTCTCACAACCCGGCTGCACTGGTGTTCGGGCGACGTTGCGGACTTTTCCGGGTGCCATAAGGGCTTCTTGACGTACCATGGGGTGTTTGAACACAGCTTGGTGCTGCAGGAACGCACGCATGACACCAGGACTATAGGTGGAGAGCTGTGCGTGGGTTTCCTCGACAACGTCAATGCCCTTGGCTCGGTCGCTCATCAGGCCCTTGTTGATGCTGTCTTTGGCGCCGGCCCAGGTGAGACCTTTGCCGAGATCATGGAGGAACTCTACCACGCCAACACCACCTGCGTCATGGCAGCAGCTGGCAGCACAGGGCCTATTCTCATCCCCATCATAGTGGTACAACTAAGCATCACTGCATTGTAATATTTATGGCAGTTTATTAATGACCTTAAGACACTTGTGAAGAATACAACTATATGAACAAAGGTAAGGGCCAGTATTGACAGAATTGCAAACTTGGCTCAAAAGAGCTCTTGAAACGCAAGAAAGGACCTTGACGTTACTTTTGAAGACATATGACATTGATGTTGAAAGGCTTTGAACTCGCTGTACGTAACAGCGCAAAATTATGTGCGAAGTCGGCCGCACTGCACAGGCTATGGTGTATGTAGCTGTAGCTCCAAGATGTAAACCTATAAATGAAGAACTGAGAAATGTGACCAGAAAAAGCAAGTCTCACTTGCAGAAAATAGTGTCATTGAATTCATTATTTCGCTTCCCGAACTCTAAAATGACCTTGTTAGAAGGACTGTTTATTTGTGGGCTTTATTGTGGTAGAACAAGTTATAAATGCATGAGTGCTGATATTCTGCAGAATTATGTCTAATCTTTCCCCATGATTTTCAGGGACTTATGTTAGCTGGGCTAACCGTGCGTCTTGTTGTAAAATATGTTCGGAGAATTCGTGAAACTTGAGTTAACCAGCTTCTGCAGAAAAAACAGCTTATCTTTTGCCATTTCGAATGTGCAGTTCCATTATATCGTTAGTATTAGGAGGCAAGTAACAGAGGCGGCACGTAACGGTGCCTTGTAGCAGTAAAAAGGGAAGCACACTGAATCCTTACCACAATTATCCCAGGAAAGGTAATGAGCGACCCAATTAACAAATATTTGAGGCCAGTATTGAGTAATGCTGTCGCCTTCTTTTGGGGCACTGGTGGAATCATTATATTAGATATGTTTACTCTGGCAGCGTTTGAGATTTTGGCACACAATCTCAGAGAGCCAGCAGCTGTGAACTGTCTATTTGTACAAGAAGTAAATTATTAGGATAGTTTTTACACTGGAGGCATACAAAACTGCTATGTATACCTATTTAGTAACTTGTATGATCAAATTTGCATGACAGCCTCAGTTGCTTATGCACCATAAAAACTACCCGAACCATCAAAAAACATTTCTAACCACGAAATAATTTATGTATTTCACAATAAAATAACCTAAACAAGTCCTGTGCCCATCTTTTGTTATGCTACAGCGCTACTTATCCGAAGTTGATTTACTTTTGTACTTCATTTGCAACTGCTCCGCATGCTCATGTGTAAAAGAATACTTTACTACTTACACGACCGTTTTATATTTACTAATTCACTGGTGCGGTGAGTGAAAGTGAATATCTGTGCTTTGACATGTGCACATCTTTTCACAAATCGACTAATGACCCAATCACGTGTTAACAGGGCAGCATGCATGTTAAGACTGTATTGTTGACCTTCTAAGTTCTAAAGACCTATGCTAAAGACTGTACCCGTGCATCAAAAACGAGAAAACAACTTTGCTGACAAGCTTCATTCAT